CCTTATTTCAATTCTTCTTCCACCTTTTCTCATTCTTCTCATGTATAACCTTTGCTCGGTTTCCCTTCTTTTCCACCTTTCAGCTGTTTTTCTCCCAAAACTTATGAAGTCACTCCCACCTTCCACCTCACCTCTGTCACTCCCTTCCCCTGATCCCCCTCCTCTCGTCCTACATCTGCCACATTTAATCCTCCAGCGGGGGATTCAGGTGATAGAAGGTTAAGTTGCTGACAGTGTGTAGTAGGTGTTTTCATAAGTGGCAGCGTGCTGTTACATCGCACTGTGGCCGCACTCTCACTCCGTCAATGTCACCGCTCCTTCACGACGCGTTTCCTCGGCGCGTGTTTGTGCAGACTGCCAGAGTTTATGATGTGGACGACATCTGAGGGAGAGAGACGGATGAGGATGTGTCAAGTGGCTCGGTGGCCCGAGGCTGCTTAGTTAAAAATGTTGTAATGGTGTAATTTTCTGAGAGTGACTCCAGGGAGGAGAGCGATGTGCTAGACAGGGGGAGAATTTAAACGTATGGCCTCTTTAAGCCATTTAATGCATACTTATTGTGACTCTATATTTCACTGAAATTGATGACAGCATTTTGGTAGGATGCGTAAAAGGACATAAAGGTCGATGTCAGACTGTGATTAATGACAGTTTTTAAACCGCATACATCATCCCTTTACAGCAGTTTTTTTAATAAAATATCAATACAGCCAGGCTTTACTTGACTAAAATTACCTGTCACGTGGTAATTATGGGATGGAATGCCATGTCTCAAGTTGTGATTGAACACAGAGTGAGAAGGAAATTGGCCTAACATGCATATTTATTCTCGTATTACCAAATGAAGGATGCAAAAAAAGCCCATTTATCAACAAAAGACACACAATTAAAAAGATTAACTCACACAGTGGAGGGAAGGCTATTTATCCTCACATGAATTCAGCGCCCGCCTTAATACTTTTCATGCTGGACTGGCCTGTGGTATTACTTGACTTCATGGGGCTTTGGGTCTGGAAATTGACTACAGTCTACAGTCATTTAGAGGTCTTATGGCAATTTCGCTGGAGGTTATGGAAGAGAGGAGTTCAGCGAATGGATAAACACCTGTGACATTTCCTTTCAGCGGAATGTTCAAGGTAACTGTTTCCACACTGGGTATTTTTTTCTTTTTTGCTCCTCTATTGCTAGATTTTTAACGCCTCCTCCGAGTGGAAATCCGTCTATGTTATGCCGTTTCGTTTCTTTAATCCTCAATACACACATTTGCTTTTGCCGGGACTTAATTTAGCACGTAGGGGCTTCGGGACATGATTAAATCACAGTACGCTTAAACAGCGCCAAAAGCGGCTTTGAATGTCAATTTTGTCAACATAAATGTACTCTAAACACGATGGTGAATATTAAATTATGCAGAGTTTGATCTTTGGGAAGACAAAAGTCTGTAAGACATAAACAATCCTGTTATCAGTGACCTCTTAAAAACATATGCTGCTCTTCAAGGTTATAGAGGGGGGAAAGAGATAGATGCTTTTTACAGCCTCTTGGTCTTGAGAAATGCTTTGAGTGTTCCTTAAAAAAGAAAAAAAAAAGAAAAAAAGCTCTGACGTCTAATTATAAACTTCCAGAAAAAGCCACTGAAAATAAACTTCTTGGTTTAATGTTTTTCTTTCTTTCCTTCCAGAAATAACACTGCAGAACTGTCAATGACAGCTCCTTTTTTTGTTGCTCTGAATGGTTAGCTGTCCACGGCCCTGCTCTACTGGCTCACGCCTTCTTATTCTTGCTTCACAGAGCCACATATCCATGTTTCACTCCTTCTGTCACCATCACCGCTGCCACCTCCCCTCCCCAGCTTTCCCCGCTCTGTGCTCACCGTCTACACATCCTTTCAACCTCATCTTCACACACCTTGAGATTGCCTTCCATCAGCTGTGAATGTTAAAAGAGACTAATTTATGACCTAACCCGGGTCCCTCTGCAGCAGCACCGAGGAAAGGCAGTCGGTCCGGGCTGCAAGAATGACTCATCTGCTCTCGTTGTTCTGAGTGCTGTCACTAGGTGGCAGCATACACACATGCACCCAGCGCCTCTCTCTCTCTCCC